GACCTTGTATAAGAGACAGGTGTTAGGGAATAAAATTCAGTTCAACAAATTAGGTCCCTTAGTGGAGCTCAGATGAAGCTTTGGTGATGTGAGATGTAAAAGACATGTAAATGCCTTTTCTGGAGTCTCTGCACAGCAACTGGTCAATTTAATTCTTAAAGGATTTGTGAAATACGGGGAGTCTTGTATTGGTTCTCTGTACAGATGAATCTGACCCGATGTAATGAATAATAGGTCAGGCTGGGATTTAATAGGAGTATCTTACATTTTTATAAAGTCTTTCAAACCAGAGCAAATCACAGCTCTGGGCATTCAATACCATCAACCTTCAACCACTGCTGGGGAAAAGGATAGCAACGCATCGCCAGGAAGGGAAGATGTTACTAATGGTTCAACGCACTGCTCCCACTCTGTCTTATGGGTCTGTCAGATCCCAGACAGACTCACACACACTCTGGGCTGCATCTGTGGTGGGAGGCAGGAGAACAGAGGATTTGAACTTCTGCACTGTTGGGACTTGAAGTTGTCCCCCTCTGGGATTTAGAGTTTCCAGAGAGATCTCAGGCAAGATGCTGAAAATCCAAACCCTGGCTTCACTGAGTCAGTGTAACCAGGATAAGCAAATAAGACAGAGATGTCTGAAAGAAATCACAGGGGTGGAGGGACAAGGTATTTTTCAGAGTCCATATTTCCAAGAGATTTGAATTAAAATTTCTGAAGGCCTCTGCTCTGAGAGAAAGTCTGAGGATTGCCTCAGTCAGCTTTCAGATCAGCGGCTCTTAATAAAGTTTTCCAAGTACAGAATGCTTTCAGAAAGCAACCAAAACCAAAATTCCCCAAATTATAGACAGACTAGGTTTCATCTCTTTCAAACACTTGCGAGGCAAAACAAAAGATAAATATTCATGCCACTTTTATGTCGCGCCAGAATAGTCTCCAAATCTCTCACACCTGCCTACAGAGCGTATGAGAATCTTTTGCAATACAAACTCTACGTATGATACGAATGATATATATTTATACAATTACATGCATATTTCCTGCCACATATAGTAAACATCGATAACTAGATGAATGCAAAGCATCAGTGATGTGTTTACAACTAATCTTTTCCCCAGCACTTACCCTCCCCATTTTCAGATAATAGACTTAAATATCAAAGAGAGTTTTCTGAAGTTTTTTCAAAATTGAGGATTTTAATCCACAGTTAGGTGCTTGAATTACCAGTGTGACTTTCACAACTCTGAACACCCACAGTTCAGAGGCTGCCGAGAAAGGATCACAGCTAAAAGTGAGGCGAAGTACACAGATACCTAAATATTTATTAAAGGCTCATTAGAAGTTTGGTGGTGGTACCAAAAAGTTTCCGCATATTTCAACAGAGAGTGGCTAATATTTCATAGCAAATTCAGTAAAGTATTTTCTCTCAGTGTATTCATATGTATGTATGTACGCGCATCCTTTATACTTCTTTGAATAATTTACTTTCAGTGTAATCTTAACAGAAATCAAGCTAACATTTAAAAGTGGACCGGTATCCCATACTATGCCACATGAATCTGTGCATAATTCAGTACTAGGGAATAAAATTTACTGAATCCATGAAAATCTGCTCTCTGCCATTTTGAAACTTGGTGCTTCAACATTTGTTTGCATTCTGAACACAGTTTTGCATTTCATTTTTGACAACTCAGATAACTATTTGCTTTGAGGCATCTTGTTCCAAGCATAACTGTTTCTCTCATAATACAAAAATATTTTTATATATATATATATATATATATATATCAGAGCAAATAAATGAAAAGCATCATCAAATATTTCTCTTCTGCTTTACTTTCTTTTCCAAAATTTAATTTCAGCATATTCAGTATGTTCTCAGGAAAAAATTCTCTTTAGAGAAGACAGGAAAACACTCGGGAAGCTTGGAAGCTTTTTTGTTCGATTTTTTTGTTCATTTGTGGGGTGGTTTTTTTGTTTTTTTAAATCAGCTCTAATTCAGAATGTTACGCTAGGTTACAGAACACATCACTAAGAAGGAGGATTAAATCTGATGATTAAAAATTGATGTGGTGTGGCTTACCACCTGTCACTTGTGCTAGAACCATTTTGAAAAGTTTGGTATTTCTCAGTTCGCTCATCATTGACACTGATTGTAGGAGCCTACAGAGAACCTTCACACAGGTCTAGTTACAAGGTAGTTATTTGTATTTTTGCTATTGAATTAATTTACATATATTGGAAAGCCAAAAAAAGAACATAAAGGAGTTTATACAATCAGCTATAAACGCGAAACTCTGGAAAGCTGACAGCTACACTACCACCAATGAAGTTTGGCTTTTGCAATAGAAACAGCTGTTGCACCTAATGAAAGCACTCAAAAATTTTCTCTAATGCAGCAGAATTATAGCAGTGCCTATTTTCCAACTGGTTAAAGGGTCTGTCAGAATTGCCATCACAAACCAGTTTTCAGAGTTTTATATTCTAGAGTCAGCCATAAAAAATTCATTCAGGCTGAAATCCGACATAGAAGGGCACAAAGCCTGACACACAAACGCTTTTCCTTTTGTCACAGTGGAGGGCTTATCAAATTAGTTTGGAATTAATCTGGGCAATTCTGAATTCACAGGACTGACAAAGTAGTAATATACGTGCAGTGTTTTGGGTGCTATGCTGCTCGTCCAATTCACTGACAAATTTATCGTTTTAAGCAAACTAATATATCAAATAGGCTAATTATTTTTGGAAGCTTTAAATACATAGAGATGAAAAATGACCTCATAATTAGCTGGAGAAAAGGGAACATCCCTGCACGGAAGATACCTTTCTCAGTCTTACCAAGGTATGGACTCTCCAGTCCCAGGGAGAGCTGACACAGGGCAGCCAAGATTACTTTGGGAGATTAAGAACTACCCTTCTACAGAGGCTTTACCCACGTACTAGATATCCCTGAAGAATGCCTCAGAGGCAGGGAAACCAGGCTGGGTCAGTCTCCCCAAATCCCTATTCTTCAGGATTTTACTGACACTTTTCCTTGCAGCCCCCCTGGATAAAATATAAGCTTTGTATTATCGTTGTGGGGAAACAGACACCTGGGTCTAAGACTTTTCAAGCAATTAACAGAGTCACTGAGTCCCAGTCTAATTCAGGAACATGGGCATTCCTAAAAAATTTTTTTTACGACCTCCCTTCCTTTTAATTTTGTCAGAAATTCCCAAACAAACTGCTAGGTTTACAGAGGATTCAATACATCATACTAGGGCTTAGGATTTTTTATTATTATTATTATTGTCTCTGTCCAAATTGTGTTATAGCTTGCGTTATGAAGGTACTTAAATGTCACACCATCAGCATTACATGAGAATGGACTTCTCTGAAGCGATCCTTATGAATGGGAAGGTCACTTAAAGTCGTCAGTAGGAAACATTATGGGAAAGAGCATCAAACCCTCTCTTTTAAAGAGGCTTAAGTCTTCACCAGTGAACAGAGGTAGAAATGTATTTTTGCTTACCGGATTTTAAAGTGTAAATTCTCTTTTAAATTCAAATTCAATTTCAATTTATTATTTTAACGAAACTGATTTAGCCCAGTGCTTTAATCAATGACCTCTGATACACAAGGCTCAGCAGTAATGAACAGGAAACTTCCAAAATAGATTGAAGGGAACTAATCTAATAATTCAACTCAGTCCCACAAGACTTGCTCCAGCTACTGGGTCTTAAGCAGATGGGGACTACCATAACACAAGGTCTGGCCATTATCGACTAGCTTCTTTGTTGAGACCTGATGTGAACATGAATCCCAGGACTAGCAGTAAAGCTTGATCCTGAGTAACTCAGGGAACCAGGTCTCTGCATGGTCATTACAGGACTTTATAGCAGCTACAGACTGGCAGTGGGGTTTAGAGTATCTCAGATACATGAAATGGCAGGAAGGCTCCCCCTTTCCTTTATAGGGCCTTTGTTTCCTGCAGTCTTGTAAGAGAAAAAGAAATAAAAAGTGATTACTTCCCTGTCTCATAAGAATAAATTCATTAATAAAGCCTCACAATCTTGTTACATTGAGAGGCATTTTGTTAAATAAATAGATAGTTTAGAACCTATCAACCAGAAACTTTTGACATCCAAAGAGAGGAGAGCCATATAAGTGCAAGTGCCAGTAAGGCTCTGCTTCCCCCATGAAGATAATAATGCAGTTCTAACTCTCTCCTCCATTTAGCCCCTAGGCTTTCATAGCAGTTTCATAGGATCCTCTTAACATCATTTGAACAGTCAAAGGAGAGACAGGAGTTGGCAAATAAACACTTTCCTACGCTTCCACATGTGAGACACTTCATAAAACCTTCACATCTGAGTTTACCTCAAGGGCATCACATACTTTGCAATTTAGATAAGTTATTATGCCCATCATTTGCTGAGCTCAGTGGAATGCCTGTTTCATAAATCTGAAAGCAGAGCAAACATGGATGAGTGAATAAAAGAACAGATGTAACTTACATAAGGATAAGTATATAACAAAAGCTGCACTAATATATGTGAATATGAAATGAAGTAAAATTAGCCTAACGTATTATATAATCTTTTAGTCAGGCACACAGATTTTCAGCAGTTGACCTCTGTTTACT